ATATATATATGTAATATTTGATTTGTCTTTCTGTTTATACTATGATTGTAGATCTCTTTTCTGTGGTTAAGGGTGATACATTATTAGTGCTCTATGTATGTCAATATCCAGTTTGTCTCTGACTCTATTATATTTGCTGATTTTGTTGCTATTGCCAGGGTAGCACAGTATTGCTATTAATTGGTATTCTCTGGATGCCAATATCTATATTGTTTTGTTTTTGTGTCAAAAATATTGTGGTCCTTACCTGGATAACAATGTGCTAGGACAATTACACCACACCCTTTCTTCCAAAATTAATGGAAAGAGTTGCATCTTGGGACAGAGGCAAAGGCCTATGGGTAGTCGTGACCAGAATGCATTACTAAAAAGCAGACACTAACTAAAGAGCTCTCCATATGAGCAATAAAGTCTTTCCATTATAACGAACCTCCCAACCTCAGCACAAAAAACAAAAAACACAAAAAGACAAAACAAGAGAACGTCAGCCAAAACTCCCAAATCTCCCAAAGCTGATCCATGGAGCATCAGGGGGAGGAAATCAAAAGCCACACAAATGAATTATTTGAAAAAAATCAAAGAGGAAAGTAAAGAAACAGATCAAGAAGGTGCTCAGCAAGCTCACAGAAGATGTAACCAAACACATAATAGACTTAATAAAATAATCAGTGAGTTTATAGAAGACATGAAAAAATGATGAGCCAAACAAAATGCTACAAAACATGAATGACCAGTTCAGCAAAGAATAGGAGTCCATGAAAAGATACCAAACAGAAATCCAGGACATTAAAAATTCTTTTGAAAGTATGGGCAACAGAAGTGACCACTGTGAGGAAAGAGAATCATCACTGGAAGATAAGGTTGATGCCAGTGGCTATATACTCAGAGATACTGGAAAAACAACAAGAAATTTGGGTGTGTTATGGTGCACACCTGTAATTTTAGCACTTGGAAGACTGCTGTGAGTTTGAGGCCAGCCAGGGCTAAATAGTGACTTCAAGGCCAGCCTTAACTTCATAGCAAGACCCTGTCTCAAAAAATACAAAAACAGAACAATAACAACAACAACAAAAACAACAACAAAAGAATGCGAAAATAGATTGAACAGCTGCTGAATGACTCAAAGAAGACTAAGATTAATAGGAAGTAGTGAAAAATCATAAGACGGAACATATAGCATACAAAACCTACTTAAAGATAATAATAGCAGAATTTAACATACAGATAAATGAGGCATACAGAACCTCAAATAGCCATGATCAGAAAAGAACAGCCCCATGGCACATAGTCAGAAATCCCAGAAGTCAAACACAAGGACAAAATCTTAAAAGCAACAAATTACTGACAAAGGCAAACCCATTAGAATACAACAGACTTCTCAATACCAACTTGAAAGGCTGAGGGAGCTCGGAGTGAAATGTTTCAAGCCCTAAAGGAAAACAATCTCCAACTCAGACTGGTGTAACCTGTACAACTCTTTCAAAGTTGACAGAGAAAGGAAGCATTTCCATGACAAAGAGCAATTTAAGAAATTCTTGACTCCCAAATCAACACTGCAAAAACCCACAAGGATATCCTAGAAAGAGATAATGAAGCCAACAATGCTAAAATGTCTAGGAGAATAACTGTTCCAGGGAGGGTGAACACTTAAGCAGAAGGGAGAAAAAATGGAATGCCAACAGGAAAATAATGTAACGACAGGAATAAGTCAATATCTTTATTCATAATTCTCAAAGGGGAGTGGTCTCAATTTCCTAATCAAAACACACAGATTTGCAAAATGGATCAAAAACCAAAACCCAACAGTATGCTATATGTGAGAAACATATTTAATTAAAAAATCACAGACTAAAAAGTGATAGCAAACAATATTCCATACAACAGAAACCTGAAAACAAGCAGGAGTAACTATTCTACTTTCAGACAAACTGGACTTTGAGCCAAAATTTATCAGAAGAGATACAAAGGTGGTTACATATTGGGGAAAAATTCAACAGAAAAGATAACAATTATTAAAATATATACAGCAAATACTGGTGCACCTAACTTCATAAAACAAATACTGATGGACATAAAAGATCAGATACACATCAACACAGTTATAACTGGGAACTTCAGTATCACATTGTCACAAAATAACAACAAAGAAATACCAAATTTAAACCAAACTTTTGAACAAATGGACTTAATAGATATCTATAGTGTTTCACCCAACAAAAACAAAACATACACTCTTCTCAGTAGCAGGTGAAACTTCCTCCAAAATTGACCACCTAATAGCTCATAAAAAATGTTTTAAGTAAATACAAAAGAAGCAAACTCATGCCAGGCATGGTGGCGCACGCCTGTAATCCCAGCACTCGGGAGGCTGAGGCAGGAGCATTGCTGTGAGTTTGAGACCAGCCTGGGCTATATAGTGAGTTCCAGGTCAGTCTCAACTACATAATGAGACCCCTGTCTTAAAACAAAAACAAAAACAAAAACAAAAAAACAAAAAACAAAAAACACAAAGCAAACTTACCCCATGCATATTATCGTATCATAGTGCATGCAATAAAACTAGAAACCGATGAGAAAATAAATCACAGAAATGCAAACACAGGGAAATTAAACAACACACTCTTGAATAATCAGTGGATCACAGAAGAAATTAAGGAAGAAATGACAGTTTCTAGAATTAAATGATAATGTCATTAAAACATACCAGAACCTATGGGACATAATGAAAGCAGTCCTAAGAGGAAAGTTATAGCTTTGATGAGTGCATCAGCAAAACAGAGTGAGACCAAATAAATAACCTAATAATGTACCTCAAGGTTCTAGAAAACAATCCAAATCCAAAAGTACAAGGAAGGAAATTACAAAAATCAGAGCAGATATTTAAAAAATTCAGGTTAAAAATACAAAGAATCAATGAAGCAAAGAGCTGGTTCTTTGAAAGAATAAACAAAATAGATATTAAGTGAGCCTTACCAAAAAAGGTAAGACACAAATCACGCAATTAAAAATGAAAAAAGAAATCACAAAAGATTTCACTGAAATCCAGCTTATTAGTGATTACTCTGAAAAAAAACTAATAATTACTTTAAAAACCAATACTTCAATAAACTGGAGAATCCATAAGAAATGGATAGATTCTTAGATATATATGAATTACCAAAACTGAACCAAGAAGATATAAAAACTCCAAATAACCCAATAACAGGCGATAAAATCGAAGCAGTAGTAAAAATAATTTAAAGACTGCCGACTAAGAAAAGCTCAGGATCTGATGAATTCACTGCTAAATTCTGCAAGAACTACAGGGAAGATCTAACATCAGTACTTCTCGGGCTCTTTAATGAAATTGAAAGGGAAGGACTACTTCTAAATCCTTTCCTGGAAACTAGCATTACCCTGATTCCAAAACCAGACAAGGACCCAAGTGAAAAAGAGAACTACAGGCCAATCTCTTTTATGAATATAGATGAAAAAATTTTCAGTAAGATACTGGCAAACAGAATAAAACAAACCATCAAAAAGATCATACAGGGGCCAGCAATTTAGCTGGGTGGTAACACTGCCTGCCTCGCAAGCGCGAGGTCCAGAGTTCCATTCCCAGTACCAAAAAAAGATTGTGCATCGTGCAACATGGCCAAGTAGGTTTCATACCAGGGATGCAAGGGTGGTTCACATGTGCAAATCGTAAAAGCAATACATCACATAAACAGAAGCAAGGACAAAAGTCACATGATTATCTCAATTGACCCACACAAAACATTTGACAATAGCTAATATCCATTCATGATTATAAAACCCTGAAGAAAATAGGTACAGATGGACCTTATCTGTATCAATCTGATAAAAGCCATTTATGACAAACCTACTTCCAACATACTAAACGGAAAAGCTGAATGCTTTCCCTCTAAAATCAGAAATAAGACAAGGATATCCATTGTCACCACTTCTGCTCAATCTAGTACTTGAAACATTAGCCAGAGCAATCAGGCAAGAGAAAGAAATAAAATCATATGTGTAGAAAAGGAAGAAATCAAACTATCATTATTCACAGATAATATGATGCTCTACATAGATGGTTTCCAACATTTCACTAAAAGAACCATAGAATTAAATACCATATCCAGTAGTGTACCAGGATACAAAATCAATACACAAAATTCAATATTGTTCCTGTATAGCAATAATAAATTCACTGAGAAAGACATAGGAAGGCAATATAATTCATAATAACATCAAGAAAAATTAAATACTTAGGAATTAACCTAACCAAGGAGGTGAAAGTCCTGTACAACAAAAAACTACGGTGCTCTGAAAAAGGAGACTGAAGAGGATATCAGAGAATAAAAAGATATCCCCTGTTCTGGCTTAGGCAGAACTAATATAGTCAAAACGGCCAAACTTCTAAAACTGATATACAGTTTAATGTAACCCCAAACAAAATGCCAACAGCATTCCTCACAGAACTGGAGAAAACAATCCTAAAATTCAGATGGAAGCAGAAGAGACCCAGAATAACAAAATCAGTCCTCAGCAACAAGATGAACACAGAAGGAAGGCATCACAATCCCAGACTTCAAATTATGTTGCAAAGCTACAGTGATAAAAACAGCATGGCACCAGCACAAAAACATACATGTAGACATTTGAAATTAAACAGAAACAAAAGCCTTTTTTTCCCTTGTGTTCTTTCCCTTGACTCAAGAAAGAAAGTTTGAAAGAGGAAAGACAGAAAGGTCGGGGTATGTATTGTGTAGGATTTAAAAAAATGCTTTATTATGGAAAATTTCAAGCCCATAACAAAGCAGAGAATCTTCTTTGACCCTAGTCTAGGCGCTCTCCACCTGCCACCTCCGGGTTACTTTCCCTACACACTTCAGCACGCACCTGCTGCTCTGTGAAGACCATACCTACACCCCTGGCCGACCACATCCACAGCGGTCCCTCCACATCGCTGAACACTTGTCCTCTTTCACATTTCCCTTGTTGCCCCGTGTTTTTAGGAGTTGGTTTCTTCGCATCAGCAAAGTTCATGGCTCGCAGCTCCAGGTTCGACCCGAAACACCCCCCGGAAAGCAGCCTGAAGCCTGGCCGGGGCAGTCCAGGTAGTGTGGGAGGCTGAGGCAGGACGCGGCAAGTAAGTTCCAGGGCCCAACTTACTTTCTGCCTGATCTGTCCCTGAAAACCAGTCCTTTCTCCTGGCTGCAGCTGCATCACACAAGCAGCGAATTCTCTTTCCCGCCACCCTGCAGGCCCTCCATTCCTGAACACAGCAGAGCCCTGGGAAAGGCAGCCGTCCCGCGGACCGCACTCGCCAGCGCCTCGTTTTCCCTGCCTCGCGCGGGGACCCCTCTGTGGCTCCATGGCCGCTGCGAAGGGCCCGGCTATTGCGAACATTTCGGGCCCACGACCGTTTCTGCGATGGAGGTGAAGCCGCGCTGGGCCTCCACTGGCCTGGCCAGGCCTGGCCGGACCGGTCTGAGCGCTGCTGGGCCCATGGGGCAGCCCAGCCTCCCCAGGGCTGGTGGCGCCCCCCCCCCCCTTTTGTGGGATCCCGTGATCGGCGGAGAAACGCTCGGAAGTTTCCTTTATTTTGCCCCCTTTGCCATGCTGGAAGTAGGAGTAGTGAGACTTCGATTTTGTGCTCACAGAAAGCAGTGGCAGCACACAAATTGTGAATATTTTCCTGCAAAATTTCGGAGAAGGGGACATCAGGGACAAAAATGGTCTCTTTCCTTTTTTGTTCTGTTTTTTGAGACGGGATCGCGCCCTGTAGTTCAGGCTGATCTTAAACTCACAGTGTAATCCAGGCTGTGCCTTGAACTCAGGGCAGTCCTGCCTCAGCCTCCTGAGTGCTGGGACCCGCGGTCTCTTTCTTGAAACAAAAACGATTGTTTGAAAATCTGGCACGTGGCTGAGAATGTATATAGGGTTTGCTCCTAAAAAACACCCAAGATACTAGTCAGCCCATGTGCTTTTACTTCTCTAAGTAGAGTGGTTGATTCTAACTGTATAATTTGATTTCAGGGAAACATGGTTGTTTTGCAGACTTTTTTTAGTTGCTGTCTTAAAATAAATCTGAATTGGCTTTAAGGTGAAATTTTGTTTATATTATAGAAAACTTGTGTGTGTGTGTGTGTGTGTGTGTGTGTGTGTGTGTGTATGTGTGGTGCCAGGGATCGAATTTGGGACCTTGTGCTTGTGAGGCAGGCAGCAGAACCACTGAGTCAAATCCTCAACCCCTAAAGAACTTTGAGACCCAATTATCCATTTGAATATCATTTTAGATTTCACAACAGGTGTGGTGGGACACACCTATAATCCCAGATTTCGGGAGGCTGAGGCAGGAGGACCCTGGCAAATTCAAGGCCAGCCTGGGTTGCTTAGTGAGTTCAAGGGCAGCCTGAATTACATAGGGTGACCTTGTCTCAGAGAGAAAGAGAGAGAGCGAGAGAGAGAGAGAGAGAGAGAGAGAGAGAGTTTTTTTTTAGAGAGAGAGGGAGACAGAGGGAGAGAGGCAGGGGGAGGGGGAGAGAAGGAGAGGGGACAGAGGGAGGGAGAGGGAGAGGGAGAGAACCTATATCATTTCTCATTAAAGATCATGGTTCTAGGTGATAGTGGATCTTCTAGGTACTGGCTTTTTACTGCTTTTCATTTGTCACTCAGTCATGTAAGAATAAAAGCTGGGGATCAGCTCGTATCGATCCAACTGAAAAAGCACCACAGTGAGGATCTAAATGGGCAGCTTTATACCCAAACTCATGGGAACAGCAAATCCCTCTGTGGGAGAGATGTTTGGAAGAGTCCGGGAGCTGCCACTGACCGGCTCTGAGACTTGGGACTGGTTGCACTAAATTGAACTTATGGAGAGACCTAGCGTAAGACAAGGCCCTTCTAGGGCCACCTAAAACATACACACTGAAGCCAGGCACGGTGGCGCACTCCTGCAGTACCAGCACTCTGGGAGGCTGAGGCAGGAGGACTGCAAGTTTGAATCCAAACTGGGCAACTTTACGACTTAGTGAGACTCTGTCTCAAAATACAAAATAAAGAGGGCTGGGAATGAGTGTGAAGGTCCTGAGGTCAATCCCCAGTATCTCTCTCACACACACACACACACACACACACACACAGTACCTATTGAATCACTGCCTGAAAAGAGGATGCATTTTATGTAAGATCCTTTTTTATTTATTTTTTTTACTTTTTGGGTTTTTTTTTTTTTGGTACTGGGGATCGGACTTGGGTCCTTGTGCTTGCAAGGCAGGCCACCGAACGGCTGAGCTAAATCCCCGGCCCCACTTTTTGGTTTTTGTAAAACGGGGTCTCACTATATAGTTGAGACTGACCTGGAACTCACTATGTAGCTCAGGCTGGTCTCGAACTCACAGCGATCCTCCTGCCTCAGCCTCCCAAGTGCTGGGATTACAGGTGTGCACCGCCATGCCCGGTTTAAAATCCCTTTTAAATTAAGCTTTTTGATATTATAAAAAGGGTTTAATGAAATGATGCCAAGGATTTGTTTCAACATGGTCCAGTGGAGAGCAGAAAATAAGCAGGGATCCAGATGGAACCAGTGACTGTGATCCGTAATTGTTGAACCTGGGTGACAGCTTCATGGAGAATGGTTTTGCAAAATTTCCATAATAAAAAAGCTACAACGTGTGCTTTGAGATGGACATTCGTTCTACAAACTATTAGTAGTGTGCACAGAGGTGTGTCCTTCTGATTTGTTTTTTCAGGATTTGTATCCTAATACGCAATTCTGTGCTTTTAGATATTAGCTAGAGAAGACATTGACCGAGCCGTGCACACGATATTATTCAGAGAAAACAACATGGTGAAGGTGAGTTGGCTCCAGGCTGTGTTGTGTTCCTGCCCTGGGGAGCAAGCGCGGCAGAGCAGCATGGCTGAGGGTGGATGTTACCATGTTTGTTTGCTTTCCATAGCTCCGACAAATACTTGGGATAAACAACATGTTTTCCCCCAGTACTGGGCATGGATGCCAGGGTGACTGCTGAACGACATTCCCATCCCTTTTAAAAATTTTAATTTTTGGACAGAGCCTTGCTAAATTGCCAGGCTGAGCTCAAAATTTTCAACCCTTTTGCCGCACCCTCCCAGAATGCTGGGATTATAGGCATGAGTCACCAGGCTCTGTGGATAAACAACTTCAGAAGAAGGGAGGCTGTCTTGGCTTGCGGTTTCAGTCCACCCTCACATGGCCTCGTCGCCCTGGGCCTGGAGCGCGTGGTGGCGCAGTGCTGCTCACCCCATGGTGGGGGGGTCCAGGTCCTCCGTCCCCTTTGGGACTCCGACTAGGCCCCACCTCCTGATGTGACCACCACCCCTAGGTAGCACCTTCGGCTGGGGGCCCAGCACAGGGACCTCCAAGGGACATTCAAGGCCTGATTCTAAGTCTGAGCCTGGCCCCATGTCTGAGAGCCCTTGGGGTCTGGTACTCAGTGGAAATTCTTTCCACTAAAGCTTGCTTCTTTTGCCTGTGTTCCCACGTCGCAGTGGGGCTGTGTCAGACACCAGAGATGAGCTCGTCTTCAAGGACAGTGACCACTCAGCGTGGGATAATCACTGCGGGGTTACCAAATTTAAGGGGGAAGTGAATTTCAGAAAGAGGGGTAGAAGTTCGATGTTATAATGATGCTCTGGCGTCTGTATTGTGATTTGCAGTTTGTAAAGCAGGTGCACGTATATTCTCAGTCGAGTGTCAAAAGCGGTAGTGGGCTGAGCCTCCTTTATGAGTCCGACCGAGTCTGGGGCTCTTTCTGCTCTGCTGCTGCAGTTGCAGCAGCTGCTGCTGATGAAGACGAGGCACAAACCGGGGTCCAGGCATGCTTTGGAGCCCTTCGAAGGAAGTAATGAGGTCCTGAGTTAGGAGAGGTCTGGTCCGGTTCCTGAGTTGTCGGGCTTTCATCTGAAGTCACGAGTGCTCGCCAGCTTTCCAGGACTCTTCCCGGGTTCTCTTTTCTGCAGCTCCTTCGGTGATCTCACCCTCCGTGCCGTACTTTGTGGCTCGGATGTGGCTGAGGGTGTAAGAGTGGGAACGAGTGGTCCCCCCAGTAGTCAAGGACAATAAGTAGAAAGTGTTTTTCATATTGGTGCATATTAGTAATACAGAGTGACGATGTTCATTCTGATACCCTGGTACGTGCATAAAACTTTATTTTCATCCCTGTTGCCCCTCTCTGCCTTTTCTTTCCCTTCCCCCATCTCTAAAAGTCTATCTTCTGGGAAAATTTCTTACTAATTTGCTTTCTTTGTGTCACTTCATTAGAGACTGGATACATACTTACAGCACTCGGACATTTTTAAGACAAGAAGAAAAGGGATGTTATATAAAAAGTGGGTGGAAAATGCTGCACAGCCTCTTCAGCAAAGGATTACAGAAAAAATAGCTTCGTACAGAGGAATCGAAAAAACAAAGGAAGAGAATTTTGTTCTGTTCTGCTATCCTTAGTATTTATTTTCATTTCATCCTGTGCTTCTCAGATTTGCCTGAGTTTGCAGCTCTGGGTCTGCAGTCCAGGTGGAAAGAAGCAGGGGAGGAGCCCACCAGGGCCTCTTCCCACATCCTGTTCCCTTGATCAGGAAGCAGAGTCCCAGAAACCCCTTGCCGGCTTCCCCTTGGGTCTCATGGCCATGGGGCCCCTTGGGAGTCCCAGCTGTAGTCAGGACCAGAAGAAAGACGGGGTCTGCTGGGCTGGACGTGGACCAGTGAGATGGGTCACGGGCTCAGAGCCATGCCCCGTCAGATGCAGGGACCGACAGCACTGTCCTTCAGTTCGGCTTTACAGAATAACACTTTGGTTTCTTACTTTGAAAATGGTTTGGTTTTAATTTTGAGGTCAGGAACCTGCGTAGGGATTTAGGCCCACCCCTTTGTCGGACCAAATTTAACCTGTTGCCTTCTGGTGTGCATCACAGGGTCTTTGCTTTTTGTGTTTCCCCCAGGCATTTTCTAGAGATATAGAGAGTTTAGCTGGATTGTCACAGCACTTTAGTAACGTGAGAAGATTGTTTTTGGCGTGGGGGTCAAACCCAGGGCCCTGCACATGCTAGGTAAGCCCTCCACCACGCCCAGCGCTAAAAGTCTGATGTGGTATTCTCTGTTCATTAAAAATACACACAAAAGCACTTTCCCTTTCAGACTAGGAACTAGAAATAGTTTAGATTATTGGTGAGTTTATATTTACTTGTGAACAAGGCGTGCGTGTGCGATGACTGGTTCTTCTGTCTGTTCACTGCTCGCTCACACAGAGCAAACCGGAAGCAGCAGGCTGAGGAGAGGCCGGTGGCTGGGAGGCGCCGTGCGCACTCAGTGTGGACCAGTAGACTTGGGAAGTTTCTTTCTTCACGAGGTGGAAGGAGGGCTCTCAAGAGGGTTCCTGAAAAAGTTAATGGTCCAGCGTGTAAGGCCTCAGATGTCTACGTTGCCAGTGGATGAATTAAAGTGGAGAGATGTGGGTTTCAGTATTTGGTTCCTGTGTAACAGAAGTAGCCATGTAATGAAATTACCATTAATTTAAAAATATGTACGATGCCGGGCATGGTGGCGCACACCTGTAATCCCAGCACTCGGGAGGCTGAGGTGGAGGATCGCTGCGAGTTCGAGACCAACCTGGGCTACACAGTGAGTTCCAGAGCAGTCTACACAGTGAGACCCTGTCTCAAAAAACAAAAAACAAACAAACAAAAAAAAGTATGGTTCTGAAGAGAGAAGTAGTATATTTTGCTTCTTGCAGAAAACCAAGTCAGATCGTTAATATGAAGACAAGGGTTATTTTGGTTGTGTAGAATTTAATTGTGTGGGGTGTTGAATTGGGACATATGCCACCATTAATTCAAGGTGTAAGTGTGTATGTGTGTGTTCTGGGGATAGAACCCAGGCCCTTGCTACTGGTAGCAAGTACTCTCCTATTGAGTTAAATCCCAGCCTTAAAGCTTTATTTTTGAGACAGGACCTTGTTCAGTTACCTAAGCTTGCCCAAACTTACAATCCTTCTGCCTTAGCCCCTAAGTGACTGGGACTATAGGTGTGTGACACC